CAAAGAACCAGGAAAAGAGGAGTCACCTCCCAAAAAAGCCCACAGGCTGGACTCAGGCACCCTCCCCACATGTGTCCCTGGGGTACGCAGGACCAATGGCTCCTCAAGGCTTCTGAGCACACACCTCAGCATCCAGACACCTGTCAGTCACCGCCAAGCTGTGCTCCTAATAATTTAGGAAAATACAGCATTCGCAAAAAAGATTCCTCTGCAGGTGGCTCTGGTCATAAAACTGCCACCTTCCCACTCGGGGCCATCTAGTCTGAGATGCCCACCTGCCTCCTGTGTCCAGAGGAGAACATCTTCACGCTTCTTGGCCTCAGCTCGGCTCCCTGCCTGCCTCGATTGGGGATGTCCCTGAATGGCTCTCTCCACCCTCCATCTGAGGGCTCCTCAAAAACAAGGTTTTGCCCCCACCCTGTAATCCCAGACTCCCACTGCAGCCTCCCATAGCCTCCCATAGCCTCCCAAGAAGTGCAGGATCCCCAGGCTGCTGGGCTTCTAGTGCAGTGCTGTCCTGCCCACGTGGGGGGCCAGCTCAGTGGTTTTGAGGTGAAATAGTATTCAACACCTCAAAATCTGGACATGCCACCTAAAAATTCGGATTTGAGGCATCTATGGGAAAAGTTTGTCCAGTGCAACTATAAGCCTGGGCTCAGCACCACCGCTCTGGGGACATGGCTTCGTCTCCGTTTGCTGCAGACCCCACCACTCCCTGTTGTCCTCCCCAACACTGAGCCAGATGAATGACGGATTCTGCAGCTAAAATTCGTTCCTACAACGCCTGGCTTAGGAAAGTCCCGGCCCCACACTTGGCTCTGGAGGACATCCCCACCACCGTGATCCCAGGCCAGCTCCCGGCTCAGCTGCTGACCCCCATGGCATCTCGAGGTCGGTGCGACGCTGCCTTCTCTGTGGGGCCTTCTGGGGCCCCGCAACCTTGTGTTCTGTGGTGGGGGGGGTCTGCAGCCACGGGGTGTCTGTCCCCCCCATGGCTCATTCACTCAGACCAAACATTGCTGCAGCCCAGGGACCCGTCGGGAGGGGGAGGGTGTGGGCGCTAGCGGGCAACACCGTGTACCCATCAAGCTGGACGCGGGGAAGGCAGCTGGAGGCTCCGAGACGCTGGGACCTGGGCTGCTGCTTCAGTAGGGCGGCCACACTGGGCCAGGAGCTGGCCGAAGTCCCATGAGAAACTGTGGCCTATCCAGTGTGCTGCGCCTCAACAGACGCAAAAAACATCACCTCCCCAAGCTGGCACCCTCCCCTGCCCTCCCCACGCTGTGACTTTCCCCCTCCCCACGCTGTGACTTTCCCCCTCTCCACTCTGGGACCC